GATGGATGGATGGATGGATGGATGGATGGATGGATGGATGGATGGATGGATGAATTTATCAACTGATGATGTTATTTTTTCTTCAGCGACCTTCTTAAATGAGTCCAGACTCTTGGATGGTGTTCAGGGAATTCTGGGTAACCTCCGCTCCACGCTGACCTCTGATCCCAAACTGATTTCCGTGATGTCACCAAGCTTCGGCTGTTCCCATGGTTACCACCTGGACAGTGATGGAGAAGGCTGCCGTGAGTCTTTTTTTCTCTGCAGATCTTTCTTCCTTCTCAGACTCACAGCTCTGCTTTCTTTCTGCTTGCAGTGGTTTGTCCTGCTGGCACCTTCTTCCAGCAGGGGGCGTGTCTTCCATGTCCTCAAGGAACCTATCAGGAGGAACAGGGGCGGGGCTTCTGCAACAAGTGTCCAAGAGGCTCCTCCCCTGCAGGCGCTTCATCAGCCAATCAGTGTAAGTCTTTGTTCTGTTTCTTCTTGCTGACGATGTTTGACTGGTGAGCTCACCTGTTCTCAGTTGGATGTTAGAGAATCAAAACCATAAATAAATGATGTAATCACACGTGTGTTCATAAGAACGTCTCACCTGTCCTCCTCACAGGTGAGACGGACTGTGAGAGGCGGGGCCTGCGGTGTTCAGAGCGAGGAGAGTTTCTGCCAGCTCAGCCAGACTTCCTGTCTGGCAGGTGGAAGTGTTTCAGCAGGGAGGGGGCGGAGCTTGACTGGACCACCAGTGAAGAGCCTCTGACAGATGAGGATTGCTCAGGTGCAGCAGCAGCCAATCAGAGGACAGATGGTGATGTATTTTAAGCTGATGGTTGTGTTCTCCTCTCTCTGTCATTCAGTTCTCAGAAGGTTCCAGACTGTTCCTGGATCAGATCTAATGTTTGGAAGTGAAAACACTGACGTCCTCAAGACAATGACCTCTGACCTCACTACCTGTGTCCATGGTAACACCAACATCCTGTAGACTTAGAGTGAATGTTTTTGCTGTTGAACTCCTGTTGGAACTCATTTCTACATTTTCTCTATTTAGATCTTTGGTTTTATTTACTTTCTGTTGTAAATTTTATTTCTATTATTTGAGCAACGAGTTTTTCTTTTTCACTCCCATCGAGGTTCTTCACAGATCAGCTCGCTGTAATTATTTACTAACCAGTTACTCAATCAGGTTAAGTCTGTTATTATCAGTTGACTGTCAGGATCCAGTTTATGCTGCAGTTTTTATTACTATAATTTCTGTCCAGCTTTGCAAAAATCATCTAGAAATAAGTAGAACATTTCTTAAATTGGTGTATTTACCCTTTATTTAAGTAGGTAAATAAGATAATTTGCCAAAGGAGTAAGTTTGTTTTTTCTGACAATGAGATATTTGGATAATAAGCATTTGACAATTCAATATTTTTTTCTTATTTTAAATGTAAACTGTATTCTTCCAATGGCAAAGTGTCTCACTTGCTTCCTATATTGAAGAAGAAATGCAATTATAAGAAAAAAAATACTTACTTAGATTTTAATTGTTTGCAGTGAAGCTTAAACATTTCCTCCCTTCCTGCTTCCACGTGTTTCCGGTTTAAAGCCAATAACTTTTAATGTAGTTACAGAAGTAGTAATGAAATTATACAGATAAAGTGTT